TGCCGGTAACGAGTTTATATTATCTGCTCGTGTTGTCGCTCGAGTCAACATCGAACGTTAAAGTCGCTATAGAGAACAACGGGTATTTCTAAGCTACGATCGTAATTTACGATTTGAAAATTTTCAAACTCTAAAACATCCGAAAGTCGAAAAATGTGAACACTCGAAAATGGGCAAACGATAAAATTCCAAGGTACGATAGGAAACTGTTTGTATTTCCAGGAACGACAGTAGTGTCGGGTCCCGCGGGAGCAATCGTGGCACCCGGACCTGGCCTTCTAGGACTCTGGTAGATCGCAACGTCTCTCTGGATTCGACCCCGACAACTCGAAGCAACTCGAACGAACTCCCTCGTCGATCTGCAAACGGCTTCTCGTCGACCGACGTCTTCGAGACTTTCATCGGACCCGATCATCGTTTAGAACAGAAAATCTTCGAGATTCGACCACGAAATATGTTTCTTAATGTACGCCTCCTCTTCGATTCGAGCATACTATTTTCGACATACTATGTCGTTAGAACGTCGAAGAGATTCTCCCACTGTAATTAGTTGCACCATTGTTACTATTCTTATTGTATCGTAATAAAGAAAACTGTAACCTGTACTCGGTTATTTTCGATTGCTCGTGAACCGATTGTCCTCGACCTGATAGATAAACGGCCAGGTACGCTTTTTCGATTCAAGTTTAAAATCATTTAAACGGTCATAAAACGTATCGAGTTCTACGAGGACCAGTCGTTCCAGTTTTTAACTACTCTAGATTGTTAAATGCATTTAACTGCTGTTCTATCGGGTATGGCCGCGGCCAATGAAAGGATACATAAAATAATGATTTTGCTACCGGTCCAATGGTTTACTGGGTCTGAACCTGAAAGATTAAAGAATGCAACGAGTAACAGGTTTGAATATGGAGTCGTTTATAAATTCGATTGGACGATTGCTCCACCAATGAACCTTTCGCGGTCGCGTAAAAATCCAAAATAATCGAATATCGACGAAACGCGATCGCGAACGTAATATCGAACACGAGAGTGTTCCTGACCTCCGAAAATGGCCAAAACGAAGAAAGACGTTCGAACAACAGGGATCGCTGCAAACCGCTCAATTAAAAGTTATACGTTTCTATTAACGATCCTCTAGATCGGAGACATCGATTTCGTTAACTTATGTAGACCGTCGATAAATATTAACGTTCAAATGGTTGTCATTTACGTGATCGAGCGTTTCCTTTCTTATACCTTCTATTTTGCAAAAGGAATATATTTGCTATTTCTTCAACCGAATAATTTATTCGTGACAATTGATCGTTCCATCATACCGTATTATGTCAGTCACGTAAAATTTCGCTGTGGCAATCGGTTTATACCTCTCAACGATATTGACACGCACGTGACAGTGAATCGTTCGTATATTTATCGTGCGCCTGCTATACGTTCGAAATAATCGAAATTCTAATTATATTAGAGTTATGTAAAGGGTGCATCGTTCTTTTTCTCGCAATTTACAAATCATTCGCGAAGAAATCAGACATTTTAAACGTTATAATGAAATTAAAAATCGACCGAAATAAATTTGTTATCGTGGCGAAAGAGAATAAAGAAGTATACATAACGCGGGCAGTATAATTAGTAAGTACTAACGAAATTCCGAGTACCGTGTGCCATATCGGTTAATTCCCGAACAAACATCATCGGCATCGCTACCCGAAAGTACGATCTGTCACGTTGACACGTTTCTAATTAGCTTATTAATCGCGAAATTGAAGCGTATACACATTGAACGCATTAATCACACGTAAATATCGCGTGCACGATAGTTAACGAATAAATTGGAGGGGGAAAATAATTCGCGTTAATTGATCTATTGACTGCGTCGCGTACACATACATTAACGCGCACGATCGAATCATTGAAATTTTATGAAAATCATAAATGTTTACTTGTTCAACAATGTATTCGCTTTCGAAGGAACAGAGGCAAATTAATATTAACCTAGACTTACAAAATGTATGGAATTTTATTCGACGTTAAACGTACAGAATGTTGAACTTATAGAATGTATAGAGGTAGGGTGTCGATCGAAGCACAACTCGATTGTTTTGTAGGTTTTTAAAATAAGTTTATTATCTGATATTAATAATTGAAATTGCACAAGGGACGGGGGAGGAATATAATTTTCAACGATGCCGATCGAGGGTATCCTTGATAATTACGGCCGAAAACGTGAAGGGGGTGGCGACCAATCGTCGAATTCGAATTTTGCGCAATGAGATGAACTCCCATCGTCGATATTCATTGTAATACTTCAGGTCCAGTAATGCCGAGATTTAAATGGTTATTTACCATCCTTTCAGTCCCCACGCGGGAGCAAGGGCGGGTGCGGCTACAACGGCGGCTGTATTCGAACATAAAATTTCTATTAATCCATCGGACATCGGGATCGCGATCGTACAATTACGCGTAAACGCGTGTTAAAAAATGCCGTATGAAATTCGAATTGAACGATATCTCGGAGCGATATTAAAGTTAAATAATCGAAAATAGAAATGGGAGAATTTCGCGAAATAGATACTTACGCGCCGCAAGGAGTTTAGGCGCAGCGGCGATAGCAACGGGAGCCGCAGCGATTTTCGGAGCGATCCATGGGGTCGCCAGAGCTGGGGCCGCAAGGATTCCACGGCGTTCTCGTTCTTGTTCGGGTTCGGGGAAGGCCGCGACCACGGCGACGATGGCGAACAAGATCAACTGCGATCGAACATTGCAATTATTACTTTTGATCCGTTGTATAATCGAAGTTTCGTTCGAAATCACCGGTTTTAAACCAAAACGGCTTAAAACGCGAACGATAGATAGACGAGAGAAAAAGCTAATTATCGTAAAAATTGTTTAGCGGATCTATCGGAAATAGAATGATCTTATGACCGAAACGATTTAATAACTTTACAGAGAAAATACAAAGAAAATTGTAGAAAGTAGAATAAAATCGTTGTTAAGAACAGTGAGAGAAACGAAAATGGGCAATTGGATTCGCATCCGAAAATATCGAATATCATATCCTTACCAGGGATTTCATTTTGTCGGTTGTGTCGGGTAGCTTGAGCTTCTTCGAACTCGAAAGTGCAAGCGACTGATGAAAATCCTAGCTTCGACTTTGTCTTTTATACTGTTATTTCGTTAGCTATATCGAGTAGAACCGCTTGTACGTCATCAACCCCGTAAGGACGCGTGTCGGGCAACGGTCGGGTTGGTCGGGCAGGCTATCTCGCTCGTAAGCTTGTCGCTGGAGCGGGCGTGGCCGGGACTTGAAATCCGTAAATCAAGACAGCGATCTAAAACGATGAACTCGCACAGAGGCAATGTTGCATCAGAAATCTCGATGGAGCTGGTCGCACGGTTGCACACGCAACGCGCTGCGAACGTTGCAGAAGTACGTAACGCTCCTGAAACGGGGCCATCGGGTGTCTATTAGCATATTTTACGATTCGCGCGGAAAAATCTTTCCTTCGACTCGTTATGAGTTAAACGGTACCATAATGCCCGCTCTTAGGATTTAGGGTATAGACTATAAGATGCAATCCGCGGTGAGTATTGCGAAACGGACTTTCGATTGCTGTGTCGATTGTGTCGGCCTTGAATACCCGCGATCGATCCGGACTAAAATATGTTTGATCGCGATACAGGAAGGCAGGAAATTCTGCTTTGAAAGTCCACTCGAAATGTTACAACACGGAGAAGCAATTGCCCGTGTCCATGCGCCTCCAATTTACCATTTTTTTGTTCGCGTAATTTTTCCCGCGTTTCAACGTTATCTGCTCCGTCGCGCGTGGGGGCGTCGCGTCAGGGGCGTTGGGGGCGTGGGTGGCGGCGGAGCAACCTGCCCAAATACAGTTTAATTGTTTCTTTTCGATCGCTTACCGATCTTCGTCCTTTTTAAACGTTTCCGCGGCGTTTTTACGGCCACGTACTTATCGTTGTCGCTTGTAGGTAATTCGCGGCAGACCACGATCACGGCACGACATACCGTACCGCTATATTTAACTCGTTGTCAGCCTTTGTTCCAGCTAATAGCGCAGCGTATGGAATTCCTGCGATCGTTCGCGAAGAAAACAGGGCGCGGTGAGCTTTTTTCCTAACTCATCATCGTAATGGACTATATAACGGTTCCAGCCGGTTCGAAATCGAACAGTTAACGATTCCAACTGGTCAGCGAGGAATTCCAAGCGAATGGACGATAGAAAAGAAGCCACGAAGTTGCTGGTAAGCGCAGAAACTTTATCGTAGCCGATCGAGCTGATTCGATCGGAAAAGAGATCGTCCGGTAAGGAGAAATCCGTACACCCTCGCTCGTTTCTGATGAGAAAACTTTAATACGTTAGTTCACGATGCGCTTTAGCATCGTCCGTGAAATATGAACGGTCCACTATCTCGGGCCAATGTTCGTCCGTTACGTAGAATACCATGGTTATTCCGCTGGCAGTCGGATAATTGAAACGTATGGCCACGTTCTGTAACTTTGATTAAGACGGGTAATCCGTAGATTCCATTTAAATACGCTGCGCAGGAAACTCGGGATGATCTGTTCATAACGTTCTGACGCTTGCTACGTTCAACTTTCCGCGCGCTCCTAAATGACAAATTTATAATTACGAACGGTTAAAACGATATCGATTCGAATTTCAACGTTGCCGCAGCAGTCTCTTAATTTACTAACGCTAACAAATCATTTTTTCGCGAACGACTTTCGTTGCGTATCGTGCAAACGTATCGTGCGTTGTACGAGTGCCGTTTTTATGCACAGTTCATCGACTCCCTGTTTCATATTTTAATCGAAGCTACGAGCACAGAGAATTAGGGGATACGCGGAGAATTTGTGAGAATCGGTGAGCAAACGCTTTGAAGCAAAGAGACGCGGTATCATTAGAGAGATTAGAACTTGTTCGAAGAAGAGCCGACCGAATGCTGGCCACGTAGGGAAGCACGGCAACGGCGGTAGCGATCACGTGTTCATGCGCAGCACGTTTACCGGAAAACCGAGTTATGCAAATTCGCGATGCGTGCGACTCTATCCGCGGCCAGTGGTCTACTCGAATACGTGACAGATATTGTTTTCGAATCATCCGATGCGATCACGCGACTCGCGACAATGAACGCTCGCGGTTAAATTATGATCAGGCTGGTTTGCTCCAATTACATGGTTGACACTCTGCTATCCGTTGCAAGAAACCGCTGGTAATCGACATCCTGATTTACCTATTAAATATCACGATCGTAGTACCTCGAGGTTTCGAAAATAACGCGTACAGATTTCGGTAATTTCGAACTTTCGTCAATTTCACGAATATTTCGAATATGTGCGAACGGTAAAAAGCAAGTGCGGTGTAAACAATGTCGAAGGCAGGTAGAGGGCAGGTAGAGACCTGCTTCTGTTTCTTCCCTCCTTGAACAACGAAGATAGAGATCAAACAAACATCCGATTAGCGCAATATTATGTATGTACATAGGTTAACTGGTTAGATCGACTTAATAAACGATATTCGCGATCGAGATTACGTAGAATACGTTCCAACTATTGCGTCGGCAACCTACGTAGTTCACGGGTGAGGAGTCGAAACTTCGGACACTCGTCTCGATAAATCACGCTTTATCCGTTTTCAGTTACGGTTAGCAACATCGATTCTTCTGACGTCGGTTCGCGCCAACGTCCCCCCTTATCATGAAATAGTGGGCGTTGGACAATCTGCGCCACCGTTTTTCGTTGCTCCAGTTTACGGTGTAGCACCTGCGGTGACCTTGCTGCCTCCGGAACCCGTCGAACAGACCAAAACGATTGTCGCTGGACCCGTGACAAGAACCACGATCGTGAAAGGATCGTCTTCCGGGCCGGTGACCATCGTGTCTCCAGGAACTTCGAACAACGGCGTTTCATCCATCGGAGGTAATTTTTCAGGAAAAACCTTACTCTACTCTAGACCGACAGGTATTATTAACAAGTTGCAATAACGATTCGATTCCGCGCAGCAAAAAATGTATCGAACGCAATTTGAATCTTTACGAGTTCCTTTCGATACCGATATAGATACATATCGTATTAATATGTTCGAAATAAGCGAATCGGCGCTGCCAGATTCTATCGCTAAGCGCAATTTTAACGAAACGCATGAAACGTAGAATTTATTAGAATCGCGTTCGCTTTGTCGATTGTACGGCTTTAACGGAAGCATGAATTCGAGCTTGTTCGGAGGAACGCGTGTCTACCCGTGACCCATAAGAAACCCACCGAGAATGAACGACCGGGGTGATATTCTTGTTTGTTCGATTGTTCTTTCGATATCGTAGAAACGCGAGCACCGAACGCACCGAGTGCAACCGAGGATTCGGTGCTCGTTAGAGGTGCCTCGTCTGGTCCGGTAACGCTGGTGGCTCCTTCCGATAATTCTGTCGCTACCGGCGACGCCGATAACGCAGAGTCAGCCAGAACGGAAACAAAGGAAGGTGTCGTCGCTACGTCAGCGAAGGCATCTGTTGCAATCGAAAACGCGGAAGAATCGTCGACCACGGAAGCATCGGCGAACACGACGGCAATTAGAGAAACAATAGGAATAGTGTCAGCGAACGCTGTAATAGGTCCCTCGACAGGGCCCATAGTTATCGCTGGTCCGACCGCTCCGCCGTTACCTATCGCTCTTGCGACTTCGACTTCTTCATCGGGCACAATTTCTCTTTCGACGACTGCTAGTTCCGTCGAGGCCGCTTCCGGTACAACTGCAAACGCTATCGATACGATAACCGACGAAACTACTCGAATCGCAGGTAAGAAGATCGTCAACGGCAGCGAATTAGAAAGTACGCTCGTTTCCTTCGAAATAGGGATGAAAAATCTCGAACGAAAGACGCTAAAAAACATAGAAGACAACGATCGTCTTTTTCTTCTAAGTCGATACCAACAACGATCTATTTACAGAGACTACGGAATCAACTAAGATCGAGGGTTCGTCGTCCAACACGAGTACCGTGACGACCACTCGGAGAAACACGGTAGCACCGGCTACGGCAGAAATTAATTTAATTCCAGCTAAAGCTGTGATCCCAGTCACCGGGACGGCTTCAAGCAACATTGTCGTATCAGCGGCAACGGGTCCCTCCGTGCTCGTTTCCGGTCCCACGGGATCCAGTGCTTCCTTGCCGTTGTTCGAGTCGCCCCTCTACTCGTTGCAGCGTTAAACGTTTATCCTTGTCCATTCGTTGTTTCTCCGGAGTGGGAAGAAAAAAATGAGCACGGCGCGACCCCCGTTCGCAGACGTTCGACGTATCCTTTCTAAAGACGGTCTCGCTCTGGTAACGACGAGACAAACCATGCATTTGTTGACATTGCGTTGGCGACACACGACACTAGGAAGGGAACAAGTTCTGCAAGGACAATCAACGACCAACCAGAACCAACGAACTGGCATTGATGGCAGCGAGCTGTTCACGAGCAAACCACCACGTTGCATACAATGGCCGCGATATTTTTCTACCTCTCCGAACCGTTGCGTCGCGTGTAGCAACCTGCAAAAGTTTCTACGCAACGGTTTCTACCGATTTTTTTCTACATCTTATTTCCATGGACATCGACGTACTTCTCTTACCATGATTTTACCTCTGACAAAATGGACGCGTATATCGGCTCACTTTTATCCTAACATTTATTAACACCGATATAACCTAGCCCTTTTTTTGCATAAATTTTCCGTACGTCTTCTTGCTGTATAATCGAGGAAATTTCGAAACGGCTACCACCGAAAACTGTATTTGACGCGTGATATCTATTATTATTAGCTGTTAAAATCCTGTATATCGAACATTACCGCCAATATTAATTAACTTGTTCGTTATTCCGCACACTCTATGACGCTGATAAATTTCATAATTGTAAACAACAAAGGCAGCGGTTTAATGAAATCGTATTTATCCATTCGATCTAGTTAGTCAGCGTATGATCGAAATGATCGAATGGCTGGCGCAACCTTTGCTTTCGGTTGAATCATAGCAAACGTACCTAACCTAAACTCGACGATTAAGCTTGAAACTCAATTATTACAGAGTCGCTTTCACTAGGCAAATGGACTGTGTCCAGTTGGTTCGCTATGGACTTTTGCCGTACACATACGATGCAACGAACGTTTAGTGCTTCGCTCGTTTCGCGTTTGAACCTCTTCCAAACGGCATTTCGTACAAAAGATCGGTTTTGTTACCTACTCCTAAAAAACGTTCTTTCGAAACGATCGTTCCTTATACCGTGCTTAATATTTTTTCTACAGGTTGCTGTATTGTCCCTTATCCGTAGTATGGATTACTTAATTGGGAAGAAATTTCATAAAAACCATCTTTATAAATAGTTGTTCATTTCGAGATGTTTGTATTTTAAGTTGCACTATACGCGTTGAAAATATTCTAATTGCAAGAATCCATCTTACAGCTAATTCCAGCTCGCGATGTAACGCTATCGGAATTTTACACATAATTAACTACTTTGCATATCTTCTTGCTTCGTTGTACGAATGATTCAAGGTGAAAGCAACTTGAAGAGGGAGGCGCCACTTAAGGGTTCTTGTTTCTCGCTTCCACCAACACCTGGAAGATTCATCGATTGGGCCATTCCTGCAAAGTCGGTGATTCCTACGGATAGAAACAGTTCGATAAATTTACATTTCCTTAGTCCAAACTAAGGAAATTGAATTATAACGCGAATCCGTTACGGAACAGAAACTTCGCTCTCTATTCCCCTTACTTCGAAACAGCGAAACAACGACGAGTAATCGATTCCTCGATTTAAAAAATACAAACTTTTTCACTATTTTACACGAATTTTTAGTTTCGAATTCTTGACAGATAATTTTTTTTTTTTAATGATATAAAACAGTTTCACAGTGTGATTTTAAACAACAAATACTGTACAGAGCGAAACATCAAGAACTCCATTACCGGTGGATACTGGTCCGTATAGATTCTTAAATTGCGAGTTCAATCCTTGTAGATTGAAAAGTTTCAGGAAATCGGCATTGAAAATAGGTTTGGCGTTAACCCGATTCATCTGAAAAAAAAATGAAATTTTAACAAGAAGAACAATAGATTGTTCTCTCTCTCTGTTCTCGCGTTCAATAAAATAGAATAGAAACGAACGATCGCGTTTATTACCACCGCGAGAAAAATATATGCTGCATAGCGGAGAAACATAAATGAAAAATTAACCGATTCGTTTAAATTTCAAAATTTCTCCGTGTGCACACGCGAAACTTTAAATAGCTCTCGTGTAACGTAGACAAACGTATCTTTCCGGTTGTATGTACGAACGTTACGGCTCGTTCCTTTCAATTTAATGCTTTAACGCTTCGTTCTCGTCAAACACGTAGGATACTAACTCGATAATTGTTTCCTACCTGTATAGAAACGAAAAGCAACACGCCGAAGAAAACGAGACCTTTCACGATCATTGTTCGCGTTAATAAAATCCTTAAATAAAATAAAATAAAATAAAATAAAATCTTTTGAACTTGTAAACCGAAGTATCCTAACGATAGTACGAATCGTAACACGATGCCGAATTACTCTTGTAACCGCTTTATATATCTGTTCGATTTATAAGCACGAAGAAAACGATATCCTTACTTACGGCACAATCATAAACAAACGATAATACCGTTCGTGCCAAATCAGAAGGTACGCGCGACACGTATGATTAAAGAAGAATGCGGCGAAAACACGAAAAGGTTGCGCAAAATAAAAGAAGATAATGCAAAGTCCGGAGCGTACATAGTCACGCGCTGAAGGCAATGTTTCGTAATAACGCGAGCGACAACGCGATGAAAAAATATGCGCGTCCGCGATTTTCGGCGATAAGCGACTTTCGTATTTTAATCGAACGAGTCGACGAATCGATTGAATCGAACGTTCCATTTCGCTCGCGTTAAGGACAACTCGAGCCTAATGACGACATTCGCGTAAAGAATATCGAAATATTGTTGTGCCGGGACAATCGAACTCGACGTTCCTCGAGCCTAACGGAAGCGCGATAAGACCGTTTCTCTTCTTCTCTGTTTCCGCGATTTATTTTCCTATTTTTCATTCGTTTAGCAAAACGTTCGTTCGTTGCTCGGAAGTTCATGGTTCGAGTAATTATTTGGCAGGATATCGCGTTGAATCGGTCGGTCGCGTGCCATTAAACGTGCTTCGTCCACTTTTCGCCATCGAGAAATATAAATGGCTCTTTAATGAATCGCGTGAAAGCATTGCCTGACGCGAATCCGATTACCCCTGCCTCCAGCAAAATTTTATGGAGCTCGACGAGATCGTGATTCCCTGAAATTTCTACCCCCGTGCCCGCAACCCCGTTACTCCTGCCGCTCGTTAAACGAATGCTGCACCTACGAACACGCTGTCTAAGTGAACAATACCTGATTCAATGAACGGCGTAAACATCCCTTGCAGAGCCGGGATCGTTTAACGGAACGGACGCTGAAAACGCGACGGGATCATTTTTTCTCCGTTACTGTCTTCCCGTACATTCGACGGTTACTCGACTGTTTGTCGTAATTGTGCAGGAAAAATGTTAAATAAGATAAAGCCATCGAAAACGAACGGAACGGCCGAAGAAAAAAGTAGAAATATAACGAACGCTTTGAAAATTTTCTCTAAACCGGTAATTGGATGTCTCGTAAGTGCTTTCGCGTACGCCATACGCGTTTCATCGACTATTTTCAAAGATCGAACTAGCTGCGGGGTCTTTCGAAAAACGTCGGATCAGTGACGACAATGGCGCGACGGGAATTAATTCGGTCGACACGCTTTATCCCGTTTTTTTCGAGCATCCCCGCGCATCCCGCAGCTCGTGCAAATGCGGCGGCGCCGTGGGCAACAATGAATCCCAATAAACGGGGCAATTTGACGGTAACACGGAGAAAAACAGGGGTAACGCGTCGCGACGCTCCGCTTCGGTGATTCTCGTAATGGCGTAACGCGTTCCTGGGGCTCGGATACACTCGACTCTAATGCAGTTGGCCCACCCTCTACATCGCGCACGTGCCGTTAACTTCTCCAAAATAATACTATCGGCATTTTTATTCTAAGCTTTATCGCCACCTGCAGATACAATTACACGACTCTTCGTACTTTCCCGATCGTCCGACACCGTCATTCGGTTCGCGAACCATCCAAATTCGAGCATACAACTTTTATTAGCGCAGTATTACAGCATATAAGCATTACGGCAGTAAACAATATTTAGGATATTCCTATAATAATAATAACGTAGGGTGTTTAGATTTGTCCGGATGAAAAATAAGTTGTTAGAAGGAATCTTTCATTTTACGATAGGAAAGGAGAGACGTTGATGGATGCGCGAATTTGATGGAAAGAGGTTTCACCGGATAGTTTGAAAGGGGATCGTGATTTCGAGCTGACAAGGTGCACGCGATGAATGTGCTGCGAATTTGTGAGTCCCTTCCTACGAGCAGTGATAAATCGCTGTCGAATCGAATGGATGCAGCTCCGAGAAACGTCTTTAAATATCATTCTTCTTCCCCGGCGGGGACAGGAGAGTACTTTTTGAATCGACAGTGTCTCTAGTTGGATTCTGTCGAGCTACTTGTCGTTTCTTGGTTGCTTCCATAAAATTGCGCCGTGAGAAACGGTCATAATGAAAACAGCATAAGCACAGCGTGCTCGTTAACCGTTTTTCTCTCGTTATCGCGGGATACTATCGACTCGAGCCACGGCTACGGTACACCCGCATTATCTTCAACTTTGACGACAGATTCGACATCGAAGGTCGTTACGGTAGATCGCGCGGAATGTCGTCGCGTAAAGGATAACCGTTGCAACCACGTAGACAAAAAGGGGATGAGGAGCCAGAAGAGAGAAATCAGGTACGTGACGCGAGTTGGAAAGGTCGTAAAAGTCGGTTAGCTACGTACGAAGAAAATTTCTAGAGAGAAAGAAATTCAAACGGCGCGTGAGATTTCACGTGTCTCGATTGGAAAACGGACGCTTCTGACGTGGAGGCGATACATCGAGCGATCACGAATCAGAAACAGTGATTCACTGGCCATTCGTGACTTGACATGCATCCCCGATTACGCCTCGACTTTATCTCGCCTAACTCTGATAACAATTCGTCCTAGTATAATTTCATTTTACGGAATTCCTCATCCAATTGCAGATCATCCGATTCGTGGATTATTAGAAAATTTCAACGTTTCACGATCACGTTTATTCTTTTATACGAATTTACGGACGACACCAGCAAACGTGGGATATATCGAAAGTACACCGCGTTTCATCGAAATACATCTTCGTTGTTGAAATTTAACCCCACCCGTTGCGCAAGAAGAGGAACGCTACACTTTTTGTCTCATTATTTTATGTAAATAATGATCTCGCTGCTGTAAACTGTCGTCGGGCTATCGTAGCGATACAAAGAAGCCTTAATCTGGCGGAAACGAAGTACCAGACAAAGATAAATGGTCCTGCGATATTGGATCTCAACCAGTTCCTTCTACATCATACAATTTGCAAGGACACTTAATAACCTAAGAAACATTTCTAATATATCGCGTTTACGAGGTTTCATCCGAAAAATCAACGCGAAAAGGGAAGATTTTGTTCTCGAAAAAGAATTCAGCACCGAGAGCAAATGGTTTTCCACTTGGGGAAATTCCATTTAACAGCGCGAAAACACGCGTACCAGGCTACAATAGGGAAAAGCTTAGAAAAATCATTTTCGAAAGCTTTCCAAAGAAGATTCTGTTACACGAATGAACGACTTGAACGGCATTCGGATTTCTTCTTTCTACGTACAAAGTAAGAAATAAAGTAAGAAATAAAGTAAGAAATAAAATAAGAAAGCGTTTTCTTCAAGCTCCTTGAAATTGCATGCAAACGACGCTTTAAGGGGAATCGTCGGATTAATTACGCGTCAGTCGAGTGAAAGGAGATAATATACCTGTCACTTTTTACCCTTTCGATTCATTTACTATTCATTTACGATTTTTCGCCTTCCGTTTCTCCTTTCCTGATCGATTCTCGAATATGCCAACCATCAATTTCTCATTCGTTCTCGTTACGATCGTTCGCTACTTTCTTTTCAATCGCGCGATTCGAACGTCAAATATTCTTTCATTAAATATTCTTTCATTAAATAGTCGAGTTTACGTTCCATTTCCATTATCTTTCCGAAAATTTTCCATTCTCGTTCCACTAATTTTCAATAAACATTCATTATTTATAGAGTACTCTGTCGTTATACTGCCAGCTTACCAAGTACTTTTACTAAAACCGGAGTCACGCTCTCGTACGGTCACGTGTTCTAACGATAACGCCTACCGTCAAGACGCGTTAGATTAAATTACTACAAAAAAGTGAATAACATAGAATTTTTCAAATTGAACGATTATTCCAGTTTCGAATCGATACACGATGGAAACGACCACCGAGTGTTTTCGAATTAGTTAAGATAGTACTTTAGCGTTCGATTCATCGGATAATTTACGACACGCGAAGAACATCAGAGTTTCGCGCAGAATTATTTCGGTCTTATTGTTAGAGACTATTACAATGGGCAAAAAGTTAGGAAAGCGAAGAAGCTCCGCTGGAACAAACGTTTCGCGCGTGCAACCGAAGCGATGGCAATTTGTACTTCATTATACATCACCCGAAACGCTTTCTATCACGCTTGTATTAACACGAAATCGTATTTCCTGTTTACGATCAGCCACCGTATAATCCTGTTAACGAACTTGTTCCGCGCAGCGCGAAATTTTCGTTCGAACAAGACGGTAATTCGGCAACCCGGTTAATTAATCGCGCGGTAATCTCTCAAAGCGAAACGATGATGATTCGATAGAAAGGCGGGACAAGTACCGATGTTTGTTTCGAATCGGTTATCCCTGCACGCCAGCCAAATTTTCTACGCGGACATTTATCTGGTCGTTGCGCGTGTGCCGTCGAACCGGAAAACGCGAGAAATTTCCTGCGGATATGTTCTTTCGAATCTGGTCGAGAACGGAAGTCGTCGCTTTAAACAAGTCCGCAGTTTGCTTTCGCCATTCGGTACAGCGTTCGTCGCGTTTCGTCCCAACACCGCTTATAAACCGAACTTCTTTTCCCGCGATTCATTTTCCTTTTCCTCTTGCCATCTCCATTTTTCTCCGATCTCCGTTCAGCCATTCAGGCCAATTCAAATTCTCTGACCACTGGACACCCTTTGAAAAGTTTTCACACTTCGCGTACAGTATTCGATCGATGCATATACGCGTACCAGGTATTCGAATTTACGACTCTTAGAAACATCGATTCGTAAACGATACTCTTATTATGCAAAACTCGTGCGGTTTAAAGTTGAAACGCGAGCAAAAGTACGATAAGTAACGTTAAGGACCGCCTATTTTGGTTAACGGAAACAAACTGTTTTCTGGTACAGTTTGACAAAGCGTGTCTTGAATTTTTCTCGTGCATTCGAGAACCGCTGTTCGTTCTGTCGGATAACAAAGAATAAAAGTTTACGGCTGCGCGGAATCGCGGAAGCGGAAACGTGTACATTCGAAACTTAAGATGCAACGATGGTGTAAATTGTCCTAAGGAATAGTCGAGACTGTTATTTTTTACGATGAGAAATTCAAGAATCCGTTTATATGTTCGTAGAAGAAAAGAAATAAAAGAAAAACGAATAAATTCCGAAGGAAAATTGTAGCAGAAAATGTTAGTGACAGTAGGTGTCGATAGCGTCGCCATCCCTCGGATACGCCGGCAACTGGCTTCAGCAGCTGGAATCGCGTCGGACAAACCATTCGAAAGCATCGTCCTCGCGGTTTATCGGCGGGTTCGTGTCCTAACTAAATCCACCTCCTGATCCACAGAAATACAAACGTTGTACGACCTGTTGCATTCGACGATGCTCTTACTGTTTGCGCATCGTCGCTGAGATACCCTTGGCCAAACTTGGAAACGTACTTTCTCAACGAACAACTTGCCGAGATTCTGAATATCTCGCCCGTAACTCTCGCTCACAACCCCGTTCAATACATATATATTTAATACAGCTTTATTTGAAGTTAATAACATAACAAATGAAAATATTTAATAGGAATTTAATAGCTATTTTATATTTACTTTTCATGGAAACACAGTTTGCAGCCGATCGAAATTTATCCCGTGTGGTATAGCATACGTCACGGACAAGTCGTGATTAACCCACGGGCAAAGTTGTTGAAAACTCTTTTCAGTTTACAACGCCTCTTCAGTTTAGTTCCTCGTTCTTCATTTTTCGCTCAAGAGGATGAATAGTAAAACAAGCAATAAGTAGTAGACTTTTATTCGGCGTCCTTGCCTCGAGCTGCCTCTTCGTGTACGCGCATTCTGAAAGCTTCGCTTTCCCCAAAGATCTGTTTTTCAATCTTTATATCGTAAAAAAAGCTCGAGTAAAAGCAGTCGGTAATGTCTAAAAATAAAGAAATTCTTTAGCGTACTTGAATTTCTAACGCGAGGTAGTTGCATTTTATATAAACCGCTTAAATTTACGACGAAATAGCGACAAGCTATAAGCGCGAATATAAAACTTCCAAATTTCTTTGGAAATTAATCTTCACCGATGCGTTCCTACTTTAGAACTGTCGTAAACTCGCGAAAGTATCGGCCCCCCTTTATAAATCCCCACACCGAACGATACAAAATTATCGTGAAATTTTCATCCGCTGGAAAGCTGCGCTACTTAAGAACGCGCAGCTGAATTCTATTACATATTTAAGTAATAGAATTACGGTGCATGGGCGAAAAGTCGATTTAACTTTGCGACGTAAAAAAATACAAAGAACTTCCTGTATATAGGAAGTACAGGAACGATATGCAGTCGTTATCGTATACATTAGGTCAGGCTGATATAATACTCTAACAGTGCATCTTTAACAGCTTTTCACTGAAAATTTAATATTCCTCGGCACAGGGATAAACAGTTATTATTTCTTAGAAATTTTCGCGCATTCAAGATGCCGTGAAGAAGACGGCGAAGAAAGGAGAGGGCGTTAATATTTATTCCTTTTCTTACTAAAGTCTATAAATCATTATTAATTATCATAAGGCCATTATATAGTTCTACCTGGTTTTCTCGTCCTTTCATTAAATTTCTTGCAAGCAATATCTAACTAAAAATCAATGAGAGGTAGCCCGAGATGATATTTCACGCTTCATACTTTTATTACGCGCGATATTTAATTTTCTCGCGAAAACTGTCGTTATACCCGGACGTAAATAAAATAATTTTATGCGAAAAATTTTCTCCGCAATAACATTTCACTACGTTTACTGCCATTATTGATCACCAACGATCGTTATTACAAACTCAGATCTATCGATTATTATCCGAAAAAAGAATGAAAGCAACTTTCGTATGGCCGTAATATCGAGTCAATAATATAGTAGAGTGATAGATTAAAAAGTCAAATTGACTTCGATTCTTGTCTATATAAGCGAATAGCGTAAACGGATGATAAAAATGAGAAGGATATTCCTGTCGTAAGATCGCGAAGCACGTGGGATCGGTCATGCGCAAGATCAACGGCAGCACGTGGCCGGCTCGAGTCGCAGCTCGGTCGATTTCGGATAGTTTCGCGAGTCGACGACCGAAGGACCGGCGCCGGCGACAGTCGCGCGCCGGCCGCTGTCTCGATAAGGTGTTTGTGTTTGCGTCGTCGCGATGAAAATTCGGCCGCCATAGAGGTTATGTTTACGCGTGCCGCGAGAATCAAAGCGATCACGCATGCCCTTCTGCGTCCACCTTTTTCGAAATCGTGCACGAGTCGTCATCCGTCTATCGACAAATCCAGCGATTTCCGTCGACCTGTTTGTCAGATCGTAAATCAACTTGGCGACACTTGACGTCCTCGGGATAGTACGCTTGGTGAGTATACTCGAATATAATTTACCTTTCTCTCGGCAAACAGAAATACGTAACGATTTGCCAAATATACTGTACAACAGATTACGACGTTGATACGCTTAATTAATCGAATCGCAAACAATATTTTATTCCTTCATATTCGTTAGATAAAAGTTAACGAACGAGACAATTGCGGAAAAAAATAAACCAACGAGTATACGAGTATATTATTTTAGTTTTCCGAATCGCGCTTGAAATATTATTTTCTATTGCCTAAAAGCCAAAAGTAAGTTTAGGTCGTGTTTGAGCCCGAGTTACCGGTGCTTTTCCGACATTGCCATTTTTCTTTCAACGTATCACGAATCGAACGAATTAAACGGAAACGAAACAGATACGCGCGTAGCTGGATGTCACGTGGCTATGTTTCATTCGTAACGTACATCCAGCTTGATTTGTTCCCGAGTAAATAACCAACGGAAGAGGATCACGTGGCGCGATACCGATGTCACGTCACGGTATTTTTTTATGTCGCGCATATTCGTCCGATTTTTGCATTCCGCGTGATTTGTTGCATCGGTCGAACGTGGTTTACTTGGACTCGTTCGGACTCCTGGTTAAACGAAAATCTTGTAATCGCGTATAAAGCGCGCGAATACGCGCCAGAACAATGACGCGAGTTTTAATATCGTCCGACCGCTTACAACCACGGTCGAGCGCAGAACCACGGGAAACGGTGAATTATGGCAACGGACATATTTCGGCTTCGACGATCAAAAGCAATTTTGCGATTAGTTTGCAACGTTGCAAATGCATCGAGGTGCAACGTTGCAATAAATTAGGTACATACCCTATGTCGATATTTAACAACCTAAGTTATTCCTCAACATTTTTACGCGGTGCGATTTTCTTTATATTCGATATCATTTCTCCGAAGTATCTATAGAAAATAGAATAGAAATCTTCCCCGTGTATTATGTTTTCTCGGGTCTAATTTTCCGTAGCTCTAGATTTCTTTCGGTTTCTCTAGGTCAAGGTTTCTCGACGGGAGAAACTTCATTTCTTCTAGGTCTAGGTTTCCCTAGGTCTAGGTTAGCGGTGGTAAACGTTTTTACGTACATACACGTGCCAACGTTTACGAGTAACATTTGCCTTTAATTTAATTTAATTTTCATTTTAACAAGTTGCTTTTAATAGAAGAAAAATCTTCTAATAAGATAACGTAGATGCAATAAAAGATTTTACTGTGTATACAATACGCCGATAGAGGCTGAAAGCAGTTGCATGCGTCGGTTAATCGATGTCGTACACGTATAAAATGAAATTTCACTTGTATACGTTAGAGGAATTTTTGCTCCAATACGGTCCAATTTTCTTTTTTATAACGAGTTGTTAATCGTCAATATTTCGGTCGTCACACACGATAACACGTTTTTTGCTGTCGAGTATGCAAAGAAAATCTTTCGCCTTGCCTGAACTTTCTTGATCAATTTCCAAGTCTCATTTGGAAATCGGTTGTTAAATTCGGCCCCAAGTTTTCTCGTTTTTTGCCGTTGCAAACATTCGATCGTATCACGGTTCGATAAATTTTTTCACGCAACCAGTGGAATCGATATTTTTCTACCGAATAAATAGTCGCAGTTGTCAACTGTACCCTTTTGTCGCAATTTGCTTTGACTTTGACCGGTGCACCGGTTGTCGTTCGTTTAATTCGCCGCCGTAGAAACGGTTATGAACTATTTTCCACGGACAAACGAGAAATTAAAGGGAAGCGTTTCAGCAACGCTGACAGCCCTTACAATTACCGGAAGAATTTAATTCGATCCACGGCCGGTGTACCTGTTCCGAGTGATCGGCGCTGCGACGTCAAATTTGCGTCGGGACTGGAGAAAGAAAAGAAAAAGTCGTGCGAGTATTTTATTAAATTTTCGCGCGGACGAAGCGTTGCCAGCCATATCGTTCGAGCCAAATTTATCAGACTATGTTTTAGTCGAAGCGACGAACCGTACCGCTAGCGAAATATCGCGATCGCTACATTTATTTAATAAATATTTGATCGGTAAAAACGCTGTTCGATACAGAAGGGAGCAATAATAGGAAATATAGCGTAAGGTAGAAACGTGTTTCGTACAGTACGACGCGACTAATTTCGCGAATCTTTCAATGGTTACCGAACAGATTGGTCGACCGATAAAAAAAAGCACAATGCTCGCAATCGATGAAGCTATTGTAAGAGCTGACGTAACCATCTACCGTCGAGCCTTTTGCGGAATCGCCCGCATAAGCGAAAACCAGTTCGTGTCGATGGTTCTGCGAAATGTTGCAAAATTCCTGGCCCTTTGACGCGCATCCTTTCTATCCTCGACTCGTTTCGAGCTCGATCGACGATATATCGTGTCAACTAATTGTAAGTAATTATGTCGTGACCGGTTATTTCCAACGGGAACGCGAACGGGAACGCGAACGGGAACGCGAACGGGAACGCGAACGGAACCTGGCAGTATGTTCCTTTAGGAAACTCGTCGAAAAGATTGGTGTACTAGTTAGCCGAGGAGAGACTAGAACGAATGCGAAGAAAAATCCAAGAGAAGCCTACTCGAACGCGTATATCGATCTACCGATACGTATGCGACAAATAAGTGATATTAGATCACTGCTATACGTACGATGTTAAGCATGTACGTTTCATTGGGCCATTCATTTAGATCATTTATTTTAGCGAACGTTGAAAGCCACGCTACGAACGCGGACGCTTATCTTTAATCCGATACACGCAAACAGATATTTTCGCCCGAGGAAGATGTATTTCTATGCGGTCGAGCGAAAAAGAAGATCGAGGTGCATCGATACATCGATTTCTCAATTTCTTTATCCAAAGTTTCGAAGCGATCTCACCGACCGACGCTACAAGCGATCATAAATCATAAAAGAAAAAGTGGCTGACAAAAGTGTTGAAAAGGAAGAAAAATAAACATACTAGAAATGGATAGATTCAGGAAGATATTCAAACAGTGAAGTGGAATGGACGTTCTTTGTAAACTTCTTTTATCTTTCGTGTCGGTCTCGCGTCCCTGTATGTCTTGCCACTAAAAAGACGAATTATCCTGGTATCGAACAAAGGAGCACGTATTTCACTATTCCTTTACCTTCGTCCTGGACAAAAACGACATCGAGTCGTATCACACCGACCTTTTTGATTTGTCGAATATTTCACTAGTAAGATCGGTAGGAAAGTTTTCAACGTAGCTTGTTCGAAGTAACGAAAGTACGCGAATATCCAAAAAGTCGCCAGCCAGTCTACCAGTTGAAATTACCCGAAATATACGAGGTCGTGTTACCGCGAATCGGGCCGAGGCGGACAGTCGTTTGTTACGTTGTTTCTTTCGATGAACGAGCAAGAAACTGCCACCGATTCTTCCCTCTGACCCACCGGACGATCGTTACATTGAATTAAGATGGAATAAAACGCGTGTCGCCGCTCGAACTATGGATCGAACGAGCCCAACAGACTTTATTTTCGAATTTCGCGAAACAACCTAACCGCTATATCGAGCTTGCGATTTATACCCGTTACGATATCGGTCGTAAGAAAGGCTGAAAGAAAGAACGCGAAAATAGGAAAATTAAAATACTCGGTAAAGTCGTTCGAGTATTATCGCGAGAATTTCAATAGAAATACGTAACGACGATAATAGAGATAATAAAAGCGCCGAGTCCTCGTACTTCTCTGTAAGCTAGTTCGCACGATATCCGTGGAGAAAGAAATCCCTCGAACAAATTCCTGGATTTCGCTATCTACGAATCCCAGAGTAACCAAAGGGTCGATCCATTTGTCGAAACCGTGGCAAACGATTGTCCGTTCCTTTTATCCACTGTCTCGTATAGTTGAGTGACCAGCGGAAGAAAAAACAAACGCTGATCTAAAGTCAAATCGTACTCGAAGAAAAATGATCGCCTAACGTTTACGTTTCTCTTCCGTTCGCCTAACCGAACGAAACTAAAATATCTGTTACAATCGCGTTTGCAAAGAGTCGAAAAAGTATCTTGATTACCATCGAAACACCGATTCAGCGTCGAGCATTTCATCATCGAATATTGTGCTCGCTCGTCTGCTTCGTTTGTCCCTTTTCCACCGGCCGCAGGTTCGTTGAAAATGATTCTCGAAAATGGACGAATAAATTTCAGTTTTACATGCTGGGACCCTCGTGCAGCGCAATGTTTGCCACAATAAATTTGCGCTTTGAAGAGCGCTCCAGGGGCCGTGTGGAAAATGTAAATTTCACGACGAAGCTCACCAAATTCTACCAACTTTCCGTTCCACAGCCAATCAGATACATATTGAATCGGATTTGATACGTATCCTTTGGTCGTTTTCAACTTTTCTTCCGTTTGTTCCACGAGAAAATAACAAGCGCTTCCTCTTCTTCCCTTTCTCCTTTTCTACCGAAAAAAATCTCAACTACCTTAAAGTACCGTCCAAGCGTCGAAACGTTCATTTATTAATAACAAAAATAAAATTATATTTTTTTCCTTTAAAACACCGCTTTCGTTTATTTAATAGAATTACGTATACTATAATAATAACGAAGAACAACACGAACAACACGCGATTGAGCGAATAGGAAATAGTTGCTCGTATGACGACGAATTGTTTTTTCGTTCTTTGTTTTTTTTTTTTTTTTTTTTTTTTAACGGAATAGCTAGTGGAATAAATGATATGTCGTAAATCTCTGGTGACAACGGGAACCATTAAAATTTTTCTGTCCCGAAATTTAATACTGATATATAACGGTTCGATTATTTCTCTACTGTCCAACCAGGACATATCTAGTAGATTTGTCGACGCGAATAATTCAGTGACCGCTAATTCGGTCCACCCGTTCATACGTCGCCTCTTATTAATTTATGGTAATTTCGACTTGAAACGAACTACGAAGCAACGCGTTTACAATACCTAACCAAAACTGGGTTGTACGAATTTTCGTTGTAACCGGTATATTTATGTTCGCGGGACTACCAATTAAGCTTGTTCAATGACCACAGTTAAATAATGGACTGTTCGATAACGTACAAGTCTAATTATAAACACGATTCTCTTTATATCGTTATACCGGAGAGAATAACGTGCGGGTGATTATTTCATTAAAACACGCGCGAATAATTGGTACAAGACTATGCCGGTGTCCATTTACTATTCCCACCGCTACCTATCGAATCACGATATTGCGACACTCGAACGAGAAGAAAAGTCGCATCTTTCTAGCTAATTGATCGTTTCTGTCCGCAAAAGTTGTTCGTTAAATTTCGCGACGAAACGAAATATGTCCAATCGAATTGCATCGCACCGAGCGAATCGTTTGGAATTGTAACGCGCGAAATCGCATCGAATATCGAAACAATACATTTAGCATTTTCATTTTCCATTGTTTAAAAACAATCGGTTTAAAACGAAGCGATATAATATAAAATGATATAATAATGAAAAAAGGTGGAGATCGCAGGAATAACAGCCGTTATTAAAAGACGATTAGAGAAACGTAGTTGGAACAATTCTGTATCGAAGCAGGTGAAAGTATTCGCGCTATCTGCAGAGGAATTAACCGAGATAACGTCACCGCGTTGTTTATCGTTTCGAGCATTTCAATGCTGAAACGGACGCGAACTTGGAAACTCGCGTGAACTTTGTTAACTTGTTCCCAGGTAAATGCAGAGTGTCGTGGCATGCCGACGTGATTCGCGCGGTGGTGTTCGGTGGTAAAGGGCCAACAAGAGGCCGCAAAGGTGGGCTTTCGAGATGAGCTATGAATTTGGGCTACTTGCTAGCCACTGTCTTTGTGCTTCGGCTGTTTCAACTGTCTTTCGACGTCGCGGCGCTACCCTCGGTCGTCAAGATCGGTGAGTAGACGATAAATTATATTCGAAGAATACTATACTACCGAGCGATCGCTATCTTCGAATAGAACTTTTAAAAGGAACGCGTCGACGATGGATAGTTAATCGCGTCGATAAGGAAATTTCGAATTTCTTGCCGATAACTAAACGCGCTTGTTTCCGCTTTCCGTCCACCTTCGCTTTGCCGTGTCTGAAAGTTCTGTGTACCAAAGTTCCACCGCGTCGCCTCTGGGGGCATCCAGCGCGAGAAATCCAATTTCAATGGAAACGCGCGGTAGGAATGAGATTTAGCAATGTAGGCGACGCAACAGCTACACGGTATTACGTCTCGAGACAAATATCGTCTTTTACCGACACGTCGCTGAATGACGGGTTCCGCGCATCGAAATTCCTCTTTTATCATCCTTATAATATCCTCCGATCGAATCGAACGTTTGCCCCCTTAAAAATGATGTCTCGAAGTTGGTCGAACCTCGGAAGAATCCGATACGACGAATCCGCGATTTCGGTTCGCGCCCGAAACTCTCTATTACGCTACCTCTCGAAACTATTCCGTCACGCAGGGCTAGAGAGGAGGAACAACGAGGACATTTTAAACTAGGAAGATCATAACGGCGAGAAATAGAATTGTACTTTTCTATTTTCAAATTTCGTTCGAATTTGAACGAAAGATACGCTCGTTTCCGGTGACGAGAGAGCGTAAACTCTCGCAAGCTTATTTGCCTCGGCAACTTGGTCACGCGATTCGCGTAACCTTTGATGGGCTCGGCACTTGCCGCAACAACGTCCAACTTCTTGGCTGAACGCGAACCTCTATTAATGGACCTACCTGGTGTCATTCGATAACGAACTTTAGATCTTTCGCTTTGCCGACGATCAAACGACTTTCAACGAAATTATTTCATTCGCGACGTTCGCGTTTCTCTCTAATACAATTATCCGTTATTCGATTCGAGCAAACGCGAAACACAAAAATCTTACTGTCGATTAAAATTTATCGAGAAAGTTTCGCCACGAAATCGTTGATAACTACGGAAAATGAAATTTACGCGTAGCTTTCGTTACGCGAGTTTCAGAGAAAGTTTGACAGGGGTGATTCAACGCGACGACGCGAATACGTTAGTAACGACGAGCCCGAGATGCGCGTATTTTTCGGAGTGGTTAGATAGCCTTGATAACTTTCAACTACCTTCAAATGATATTACTCGGTTCTCGGAAGTTCTGTGAGAAACGTAACTCATGGTGTACGTAAAACCAAGCCTTCCTTTTCGTACTTTCCTCCCTCTCTCTCTCTCTCCTTTCCCGCAACGACAAAGTTCGTTGCGAACGAATAAGCGAACAACCACTCGGGTACCTTCTTCGCGAAAGAAGGAAGAACGGAGCGCGGATTTTTCAAAAAAATAGAGACTCGGCTAACTATACGTCGAGTCGCTCTCTATAGTCTATAGCATTCTCTATGGCTGCTTTATGCTTATTATGAAGAACGCGCGATCTTTTCCGAGCTAAATCCGACTGTTCCACCGGGAAAACGTCCCGCTTTATCCCGGATAACGCAACAGCCAGCGAGAAATGAAATTGAGCGTCTCTCGTTGTCCCTCGTCCCCCCAGCCGGAGGGATGAACAAAGCGAAAGAACAGATCACCGTCAGGAGAGTTTATGGAAATATTACGTTTAAACTCGGTTCCTTTCACTTTATTTGTCTTTTCAATTGTACAAGATTTCTGCGAGCGAACGGTCTTTCGAACTTGCCCCGCTCTAATTAAATACGACCAGAGGTATACAGGATGTTCCGTTTCAGACCGAATTCTGTTATTTTCTTTTAATCGCGACCATAGTTACCGAGATCTTGGCGAAATTTCTTCGTAGCCGACAATCGATCAAAGTTGTCCGAGTAAACGTTTACGCGCCAGTTATGGCTTACACGGCTATTTTCGCTGGAGGATACCGTACAACGTTTTCCTTTCTTCGCGCTTACGCTTACGCATCTTTTTACTCGCTACCGTGAAATCGGGGACACGTTTTACCACTCGAAGCTTCCTTCTCGAAGACGGTCGAATAAAAAGGATGAAAAGTAACTCGATGCATCGGTAAGACTGATTTTTTCGCGTCTACGAGCTCTTCGGTTTACAATCGAATCGAGGTGAGAACACTCGAAAGGTCCGCGTTTGTCGCTCGACAGGAGGAAATCACTCGGAAGATCCAACGTCTCTCTTTTAAGCGTCTTTTTTTTGCTGTTTTCATCCCTCTGGGCAACGAGCGAGGAACGACGAGCGACGAACAAAGTGGGTGAACAAATGGTTCAAGTTCGGTGACAAAGAAAAGCTGCGGTTAGCTGCCACTTGCACGAACACTCGTTCAACGATCTTCAGTCCTCGTCTTTTATTGACCGTCCTCTCCTGCGCTCGTCCTTCGACTATCAACTTTCCACGCCGTTCTTCTCTATCAGCTTCTTATTTTCTTTCGACGTATAACACGCGACGAGATGAAATCGTGGAAAACAACAATTTCCGTTTTCGAATTTTTCCAACATTCGTTGGACGATGCCTTGACCGGACACCGGCTATATTTCCCTTATGCCGCTAACACGATTTCCTATTGAAAATCATGCCAAATAGCTCGAAAGCAATTTCGCGGTTTCTCATTGACTAAGCGAACCGAGACGATTCGATAATTACATGATTTTTCATGGAACAGAAACTATTCTAGGTAGTAATCTAGGTATTTTCTTCGCGTTACTCGACGCGTCGACGCCGCGAACGGCTAAAACGATCAATTTCTAAAATAATACGTAAGGTCTGAAAAGATACGGTACTATATCAATCGGCCATAAACGTGTCAGCTTTTAAAATTCGCTGAGCCACGAAAGATTAATCGACTTCGAAATTACTGGAGCACGGAATAACGTGTTCCCACCCCATGGAAAATACAGACGCAAAAAGCAATCGACGCTGAGCGGAATCCACGAGTTCATATACAATATTTGCGAAACGAAACAATTGCCTGCACACACCGGCAACTTGAAGGGTTTCTTTCCGCGGTCGGGAATGCTCGGCATAATATTAAAGGGGCTGCAAGAAACCAGCTGGAATTGCTAAGAAAAAGTAGGAGGAACCGTATGGAAACGTTGAATCGGCAGCTTCTATCTTTCCTCGCCGATTTCCGATTTCGCCTTGTTTCCTCTTCGTTTGTTCGATGAGATAATTGAATGGACCAACGAGAAAAAGCGAAAGCGAGATATTTAAGTCGATATAACAGCGGAGAAGGGTAGAAACGAGTCAGAAGATTACGACGACTAGGTCGAAAATCGTTGAATTTCGATGACCATCGAAACTTGAAAGGATCGATTAATTTCCGTCATTACGATTTAAACGGAAACTTTCTCCAACTCGAGAAGTTTAAGATATTTCTTAAGAAAATTACTTCCGTCTCTTCGATCTCGTCTGTCAATTGCAGCACAGGTATTATCATTTCTATCGTGACCACGCACAAAAGGTATTTGCAGCCGTTCTCCGATTCGTTCATAAATATAAATAACGTTAAATGACTGACGAGCCGGATAATTCTCGAACGGTCAATACGGGTCGTTGACTCCTTTCAAAGATTTCTTGTAGATCTAGTTGAAAGGCGAAGTTGGCCCGATGGATTCGCAAACATTTCGCGATGTCGCGACGCCGACGCGGCGTCCCGTACAAATATTTGCAAGCTACCTCGAGTGTTCGATCCTTGTAAATTATCCACGACCAATCCGTCCAATCAGATTTTCTGGCTAAGCCGCGCACGATGTAATCATCCGCGTCCGAATGAACTTTGGAACCGAACCACAGAGGAAATCGCCAATAATTTCCACTTGTATTCCCGACGCGTCCCATTTCTCCAACGCGCTATAGCGCCAGCTATCAAACTGCCACTCGTCGAATAACGCCTCGCGCTGTCGCGTGGCCCGATTCTAACAATTTGTCCGCTCCTACCACCTCGTTTCCGACAAGCTGCCTAACGAGAATCTACCGTCCGTTGATCCGAAATTACCCGAACAAAAATTTATCGACGAATATTTCGAGCGCGATTATCGAAAGCGCATCCGACCAAACAACGTTTCTCTTAAAAACGCGAAAATGGTGGTTGCTCGTTCGCCCGCGCTCTCCTTTTTACCCTGAACGCTGATCGTTTCGAGAAAATAGCAGGGAATACAGCGGTCGAAGAAGATCGTGGAAGAAAGGAGACTCGAAGACGACGGAGTAAACCGAGTGGAAGGACGATTTTGTATGTAAGTGGGTTACCGGCTCGCGTCTCTGTCCGCTCTGCGGAAAAATTTTCAAATTGTTCGGTGTCGCGTACATCTCGGACGCGAATTGGACCGAACCGCGACGCGAATCGTCCGAATGAATTTAAACGCGACTCGGAGTCTTCTTTCGCGAAGAAATAACGAGACCGATTATTTTACCGGTTTGTTTCTTATCGCATGGCACGCCACGAGCGTTAGCTTCTCGTAGTCGATTCTGAAACTCGAGCAGGGGAATCTAGAAGCAATCATGGACCTCCTGTCAGCTCCGAGTCGTCGATGGAGATGATGGATTATTGTCGCTTAGCAAATCCTACCGAAGATGTCGGACAGCTAACAGCTTATGGCTTCGTTTCTTGCCATCGGTGGCTATATCGCACCGAAATGCTCGTAAAAGATACGCGAAGCGAATCGATAAGTGTTTCGAGTTGTTCGCGAATGCTGCGAAAAATATTCCGTCTTTCGATCGTCGAGTGATCTCGAAAAGAGAATAGAGGGAAAAGTAGGAAACTAGAATTCATAGAATTCTGCGAAAGATAAATCGCGAGGTGGCTCGCAAATCTTAGCGAATAACGAGCAAAAGCCAGCTCTTATCCTGCCGTCGCGTCTAAGCAACAGCTGGGTACAACGGTTTTACTCGAGACGTACATATCGTGTAGAAAACGATCTTTACAGCAACCGGAAGCTTCGGTTTCCGAGTAACGCGCGACCGGAATTTCAAGCG